CAATGCATGAAATGTAAATACAAAGTGAGTCATTAAACGATTTCTTTTAATGTGATGAACTTTTGAAGGCACAGAAAAGAAGAAGAGCCACTGACCGTCTGCATCAAAATGTTTCCAGATGTCGATGAACTGAGCTGCGGTAAGCTCGGCCAGGTGCAGGTGAGGTTGGTGAGTCTGGGCTGCCATTTCGTTTCTCCTCCTTCGAATGGATGCACTCGCAAGCTGGATGAAAGATCAACTTTGCCTGTGTAGATCCTCGCTTTTGCTTGCCGCTCCTCCTCACTCGCTGCTTTTAAACCCCCCCGCGGCGGCCGCACTTCTCTTTCCTGCCACCAGGGAGCGCTTCGGCCGTGAAGACAGCCCCCTCCTCCCGACCCCCACGGGAACCAGGGACCACTTTCGCTGCAGGGCAGGAGGAGTGGGGCGGGGGTTTCTCCTGGGCATTGCTTATGAGTTGCCACGAAAGGATGCACAAGATGCTGCCTGCTGAGATGATTTTGTTGTTCAAGATGTGAAAAACCAGCCAGAGCACCTCTCTCTCTCTCTCCCTAATCAAATAAAGACAAAGAGCATGCGTTAACAGTCGGCTTTTACACAAATGTGTTCATTACATGCGAGTTTTTCCAAAACTTGATCAAAATGTGATTATCTCACAGAGGCAGAGAACGATACAATGGCTATAAAAAGTCACCTCTGTTCAAATGCCAGGTTTTTCGGATATAAAAAAAATGAGACCAAATCAAATGTTGCATATTGATATTAATCTGTTGTTAAATCATTGCATTGCCACTCCTAGTTGAACTTTACTGTAATTATAAAACAAATGGTATTACAGGGTATGTATTTAGAACAATGTTTTGCCATTTGGAATCTCTGCTAGCTCATTGCTAGCACACAATACAAAATGCCATAGACAAGCTACCTAATGGCATGCATAGTTGCTGTGTTTTGAGCCTTTCAGCAACACAGAGTATTTGAACACAAGCAGTGCAGAAACACATGTAGACAGAATACTGCTTGCAAGCATATAGTCTTTCTCCTGGGTCTTTATCCTGTCTGTATGACTATATGATACTGCCCTCCAGGAGGCCAGGTTGCGCACGACAGAAGAAGCTACAATGAATTAACCATGATGCACATTAATTCTTCACATTTTCATGATACATCTGATTACTATTTGCTTGTACAAAGTGCAATATTTTAGAGTGCTATTTTCCTTTCTAAAAGAATACATAAAAATGTTTTGTGTTGTTTTGGTTTTGTTTTGGTTTTTGGGAGGGGGTGGGGGGTGGCGCTGGAACAAATGAATGAATGACATTTCCATTTCTTTCAATGAGAAAAAAATGATTTGATATACCAGCGGTGCAGAGTGCAGTTCAACCAACAAAAAAGTTGTGAAAGTGCAGCATTCAATCACCTTCCAGACTGACCTTGTGTCACCCAAGAGGCCCAAACATCTGGCGAGGACAAACTAGAAGATTCCATTATGCCTTCGATGCATCGCCCCTGTTCCATTTATAGGCACATTGTCTTCCGCTTCACTTGCTTCTCTCCTCTGCTGACTTTTGATTCGAGCTGTCTCGCAGCTGGGCCGACACTCTGCCTCCATATTGCTTCTACTTTCCACCCTCCTTCAACGCTCTTCTCACACTCTCCATCACTCTTCCTGGCCTGCTTGGGTCAGAGAGCCTGATTCTCCGCGCTCAATCGAACCCACTCACGGCGTAAATCCAAACGGCCGCTCTCGCATATCTGCTAAATCAACATGCCTTTGTTCTGTTTGTTGTGTGAGCCCCGGCTCCTATCTTTTCCTAATCTCCTTTCTCATTAAAAACTCTGCTCCGTGGTTTGGTCTCTGGAAGCTGGTGTAAAGGATGGGTGCTCGCGGTGGGGGTGGGTGAAAGGGATGGAGGGAAAAACTGCAGAAGCCGAAGAAGAAGACGAAGACACTTTATCTCCTCCCTCCAGGCAGCACGCTGGTATCAGAGAAACGAAGAAAACAAAAACGGAGATAATTGGCCAGGCCGGTGTACACGTTTATGATTTGGAATGTGCAAATGTGTGCTCGTGTGACAAAGAATAACCACATTTATAGGCGCTTGCAACATGAAAGGTGTACGAACAATAATTACAGAATGTTTGCCGAGGCCTGATTACTCTCATTTTAATGATGGAGGCGAAGCGATGGGATCAATCCCAGAGCAGCGCGGGATGTGGGAAAAGGACAAGGATAGATGAGGGACATGTTCGTTAATGGGGTTCCTGATCACGTGATTATGAACACTCGCGTTCCCCAAGTGCAGGCATCGTTAACCTCTTGCTATTTGCTGGCACCAGCGGCGGGATGATTGCTTTGGAAATGAAATTCCTTACAGCTACAAGTTACCCTTTGACAATGTAATAGTCGTGCAACTACTCGTGTTTCAATTACTGCATGAAAAGTAACATAACTAATTCCATTCGATTACATTGTGATTACTTTTTTAATTCGTTTTGAATCAACGTTCTCGACTGTTTTTCACATTTTAATACCCTGATAGTGTTAAAAATTTTCATCAGTACTTGAGACGGCACACCAGGCAATATACTAAAACACAACACAAGATTCCGTTTGAGTTACTTGTGTTTTTCTGTTAGGGCAGAAATCTAAAGTACATGTACACACGCAAAAAAAAAAAAAAAAAAATACAAATGTCAAGTTGTTTTCCCAAACAACTCACTGGGTAGATGTGGATTTTGAACGGATTGGGTTATATTTACCTGAGTTTCTGAGGCAATTTTCTCCAAAGGTAACTACATTTTAATCATTAAATTGTCCAAAAGCAACTGTAATTATATTTTTTCCCTAGTAATATAACATTACAGTTTCATGCATTTTGAAAATACACTCTTAAACAATATTGAACCCACATTAGGCTATTTTCAACCCATGTTGGGTTATTTTTTTCACGAATATTGAGTTATTTTTAACCCATCTAAAAATGTAGATTATGTAATCTCATTAATTAAATATAATTAGTGACTCCCCAACCCCGGCTGGGGGTGATAAAAGCAAAATTAAAAAGAAATTAAATTATCAACTTTGCATCAAATACAAAGACAAGTACTGTACAAAGACATGTACATATTCATGCATATGTGCGCACATGCATGACTGCAGTTTGAATTTGAAACCGCCTGTGTTGTTATTGCATGCCAATCCAGACACAGGTTGTAGGTCACTGACTACGGAGAATTGTGCAATCGAGTTAATGCTTTATTAAAATGAAGATGAGCCCATGCTACATAATATGCATAATTAACATGGAAATTAAAGGATGAAATGTTGAAGGGTGGCCAGGTGTTGTCGAAGCTTTACCATCCATAGTCATTTTCTCAAATGCACGCATAATAAAGTGGTTTTGGGATTATGTCGAATTAGGCAAAATCTAATTGTGCAGTGCGGATTGAATATATATAAACAGATTTAAACATTTTAATGAGATTGGCAGGAATAAGCAGGGTGAGAACAGATGAGTACAGTGGTGATAATAAATGTGAATGACCATGCTAGTTGAAATGATATGCAATACGGTAATTCATTTCAGCCATCACCCAGAAATTATAACACTTTTTTGCAATGTGTTTTTTTTTTTTTAATAAGGAAAATAATATTGCACTTTATAAAGATTGGAATCAAAAACATTTACTGGTACCAAAAGAAATTTACGGTAAATAGAATGTAAAAGAATTCAAAAGTTATTGCATTATTATTTAATGCTTCATTTCAAGACTTTCTGCGGTCTGCCTGCGCAATACAACAATATATGTATATCGGAGATGTGCTTAAAAAAAAGTCTATTGCACAATATAACAATACTGTATGTTGTTTGTATTATTTGGGGGAGGGGGGTTCAAGTTCATGGACAATTTGTACATACATTAATCAACATCAAAGGACATGAAGAGACGCTTGCACCAGATTTAGCAGAAAGATATTTACATTTTCCTTGTTGCTACCGAAGAATAAAGTAAAATGATTGTGCTGATCCAGATTTCTTTTTTCAGTCACTTCATTTATTTGCACTTCAAGTAATTTTAAATACTATGTATTTCGTTAACAGGATGTAAAATTACCAGTGCTAGGATTTGTTCATATCGCACACCTCAATGTGTTGTGGGACATTTTATATTCAAACATACATTGCTAACAGCGTTCTAAAACTGACTCTAGATGCTAATCTTCAGTGTGTATGTTAGCAGCAATTGTATGCTAGCATGAAACTATTTGGGCCTTTCTTCAAGCAGTTGTTTCGTTGTTTTAAATTGCTATGTGCAATTCTCTTTCTTTTATGTTTAGTTTGATATTAAACTTAAATATTGAGTGACAATGAATAGTTTAAAGTTTTTTGTTTGGTTTTTTTTTTTTCAGAATTGTTTACCAGAGTGTTGTTAATTGTGAAGTGAGTTGAGTTCAAGTCCGCCATACAGCGCTCGTATCTTAAGTTTATGCTTTCAAGTCAGGGGGGGAAAAAAAGACAATTTAAACATTTCTAACTTTTTTTTAAGAACTACGATTTACCGTATGTTTAATATATGAACTATCCTATTGCAGCATGCATTAAAAAAAAGTTTTATAAATCTTGTCGTGTCGGTGCATCTAAAAATAACGTTTTGCTATAGTCGCCAAGGACGAGTCACTTTTAGTGCAGACGTTAATGTTTAAATCGAATAGAGGCAATTTTTTGAAACTGCCAAAAATGAAGCAAATGTCGCCAAAGGATATTTTTTGGGTTTCTTTTTATTTTGTTTTCTGGGACACTGCGTGATGTTTATCTGATATGCCTCCTTTTTGTGTTCAAAACAAAAGCACATTATGTTAAAATGAATGACTTCTAAATAACGTATTCCTCATTATCACAACAAGCGGCAAAGTTCAGAGGTAACAATAAGTCACACTGGGGACACACGACACAATTTCACCAGCCATTGCCAATTTTGAAAAGACAGTATGCATCTGTTTTGAGAAGATATTTTAATGGCGACCGAAAGACTGACAACACAAATGAACGACTCTGCCTAATTAAAGTGATCACAGACTAACATGATTCGTCAAACCAAGTGATGCTAATTAAATTAATCAAATTCTCGCTAACGCTCGACAGAGTGTCGGTTGACATAATAAACAAACATGGATAACAAATGGTTCGCCTTTGCTGTTCTTTGCGCCGTGCAAAGACTAAAACTTAATTGTATAACAAATACATTTTACGCCATTAAAAGGAATTGAAAAGTCATTAATCCGCTCAAGACTGAAAAAAACACCACTTTTTTCCACCCATCCATCCAGTTTACAAACTGCTTGTCCTCACATCAAACAAAACAGCACAATGTCCAAGAGACATTTTCCCACATCTGCTCCATGCATCTTGCGAGTGGTTTCAGTTTGTATTTCTGTGTTTGGATGTTTGTCCTTTTCAATCATGGGTCACCATCCTGCTTCACTGCTTTCTGCTGAAATCGTTTCGTGCATTTACCTCACAGTTTCGAGCACGGCAGTTCGAATCAGAGCTTCGGGCTTCTTGTGTGGAGTTGACATATTCTACCCATGCTTTCTTCCCAAAACATGCATGTTAGCTTAGGTTCAAAGAAGATTCTTAGTTGTTCTTAGAGTACTGTATATGTGAATGCGAATGGTCAAATTCAGCTGGGCTGGACTCCACCTCACCCGCTACTACCCTAATAAGTGGTATAGAAAATGGATGGATGGAATCAATTGCACATGGCCTTCTGATTGCTTACCTGATTTGCACACTGTCAGATATGTGTCCATGTGATTCACTTGGCTGTGCCGCGTATGTCTTGGGGGCAAAACCTGAAGATATAAATCACACTCATGCGTTACCAGCGGAATGGACAAGTGGGTGATTGGCGCAAGAGCTGATGCAACATGTGAAATTGTTTTGCAAAGTTAAAGCTTTAAAATGTCTAGTTTCAGATCCAGTTTCTTAAAACAGGATCTGTTTTTGATATCAAGGGAAAAGGCCCGCTCCTACCACTTTTGCAGTAAACACTGAACTCCCAGAGAAGTCATTTGTGCAAATTTAGAAAATGTCAGTCCAGAACTATAAGCATCAACATAAGCGCTGTTTCGCGGATCCTTCGAAAAGTGATAACGCTTTGCTGACACCGACCTAAAGGAGCAGATGACGATGTTCACTGACCTGAAGTCAATTGTACTTCGGGTTGAAGCAGTGTGCACGACTAAAAAGCTTCTCGTAGTGGTGCTGAACTGCAGTCAGAAAAAGAAAAAAAAAAAAAGCTCTTGCTGGGCAGCAATTTTGCACTTGCCTTTTGGGAAACCCCGTAAATAGCGAACATGAATGTTTAACTTCAAGAACAAGCATCCGCGTTCCCAGACTAATTTTCTTGGATGTTACACTGCAAATCAACCACGGCGTTAAAAACAGACGTGTCAGAAAAACAACCTATGCTGTGAGAGGAATTAATTCGGGATGGGTCCTTACAATGCGACCGTGTTTATCCCTGATATTTCCGTGACTCGTCAGCATTTGCCATCATCAATCAATAAACAATCCTGATTGTGGCAATCACAGAACACGAAGCTAACATCTGCATCCATTATTTAGCGGTGATTACATAACATAGCTCGCAGTGAATGTTTAAACCAATGGAAATTACAACCACGGTAAAAGCATGACTGAATGAATATGTATTTGTCAGTGAGGGAATATAATTATAAATCCCAATTTATACTCCTGCAATGGATCTCGTGAGATTGTACTGGTTTATTAAATGTGGCTAGTGGGCGTATTTAACCCTTTTATGCACCCAGTAACCTGATAACATGATAAGATGTCCACTGTAGTAACCGCTGTCCCTGAAAGGGTTAAATTTTCGTCTCCCTCGCATCTGAAGGCAAATTTAGCGCTACTTCGGGAGATATCTTTACTGGACACTGATATCCCAGAAAACAAAGGACTTGGTGCAAAATTAGCACCAATGTTTAGTGACCTTAATCAAGTGTCAGGGAAACGGCGGAGAAGAAACGGTTATAAGAGAGCATCACACAAAACAGATGTGCAAGAAACAAGTTTCAGGCGCCGAGCACTTACAACATGCCGCTGCCTGCTATTTAAAACATTCATGTTCAGGGCCCATAAAGGCACATTCAATCCAGCAGGCAATCCGTCTTCTGGATGGCCAGGAGGACGTCCAATCAAGCCAGGATGTGACCCAAGGGATTGTTTGTCTCACCCGCTGGACATCTTTTAACTCCAGAGTAGTTCAAATTAATGCGTTCGCTAATTACCAGGAGGCCTTTAATCCCTCCTTTCGCTTCTTCTTCATGCTAGTCTCATCACGCAGATAATGAGGAAAGTCAGCTGAGAAGCATCACACAATAACAAACACACACACACACCACAGTCATCTTTTTCTGGTGCACACCATCTAAAATTGCATAATTATATGCTCAGATAGGCAATAAATACCCCCAATGTGCATATTGTTGGGTAGAATGAAAATCCCAGAGTGGGTTTATTTGTGTGGAAGTGTGCACGCAGATCAAATTAGGCTTTGTGGGCTTGAGTGCCAGAGACATTTGCTCCGGCATTAATGCGCTGGAGCAGCAATCAGAGTGGGAGTGTACCATTTGTGTAAGTGAGAGTGACAGATTGCCTCATTGCAGTAATCAGCCATTTCATTGGCGACACAATGCAGACTGATAACAAGTAGTTGGACTCAGGGAGAATGCTGGAAACTGATAAAGCAAAACACAGTTTCCAATCCGTTCTCCCAGTTATATCATTGTTTTTTTTCCGCGGGAACTGATAACAGCGACGCTTTACGATCGTGTACGTTATAAAATAAACCGACAGCCGTTGCTTTTTGCGCGTAAAACACCGAACGGGATAGGCTTTAATGTTCATATTCTCTCACAAATGAGTATGAGCTTCAAATACGTCCTGTTTTCACCCTTCTGCTTTCAAATTTACTGTGTTAAATACAATAGCGTGTCGCCAACTACACATACAAATAATGGAAACACAATTCAAAACCTTGACTATATGAAGAGCAAGAGTAAGGGATAACACAGAGATTGGACAGTATAACATGCATGCAGTGATCCCTTTATATGTTTACAGGAAAGAAATCCTTTTTTTTTCTCCAAACTAACAAACCTAACTTATATCTCACAATATACATCAATAATCATGTCCAAAGATGTACATTATAAAAGTAACATATAACCGTGCTTTCTGCAATCTTAAAAAGCAAGATTACAGTCCATGTCACTCAATAATTATCAACAAAAAACGCAGGAATTTCACCCAATGTAAACAAGCTTTAGACCAAAACACTGATGAACTGTTCAAAAAAAAAAAAAAGAACGCTATCATAATACTGCGCACCAGACATAACCGCACACAGTATGATCTTCAAAGGGCTTTTGCTGACAGTCGAGTGTGCTAACCACCCACGAGCAATATGATTCCCCGAATGCAGGCGGGGATCGTTGTCCTTCGGCCCTTCCCTCTGCAGGGAACAATTACGTTGTTAAACCTCCAGAGTGCACATCTCTGATGTGCAAAAAACAACCTCACCTCTCATAGTAAAGTCACCAGAGACAAGAAGTGATTATTTGCTGTCATGATGCAACAATTGTGGGCTTCTACCACACAGTATGGCAACAAGAACAATTAGAGAACAATTGAACTGGGGTCTCTCAGTTGGTCATCTTTTTTCATAAACTTTCAGAATACCCTTTTTTTGGTCATGGACTCAGTCGGGTGTACCCGATCGCTGTGCTCTTGAGTAATGGGTGGATTGCACAGGTATATTAGGGCCAAAATTTTCAATATGTTGTTAGGTTAACACCTCTTTGACAACCAATCAGGCAAAAATATCGATGAGTCATGCTACATTATTGTATTTAATCAAACCGAAGACGGGAAAGGTACATTTGTATTCAGGAAGGTGTCGCATCTCCCAACTCCCACACACATGCGCACCTAATACCAAGAAGTAAGATGAATAATTGACGTTTGCCAAGCTCCACCCAAAACAAATGCCCCGAGAGATGACAAGCACATAAATATAAAGTCCAGTAAATGTGCTTTCTGTGTACTGTACGTGAGTGCATGCTACGAAAATTGAATGACGAAAACAAGCGAATCGGTAGCCTGATTTGTGGTCTCTCATCCACCACTGTCCTTGCAATCACCTCAGTTCAATATAGAGGTTCATGCAAGGTCATTGACATGCCTGCGAGAAGAATGCGAAAAAAATACGGACGTAAGGAGTTAATCTATCAGCTATTGATTTGCCTGCTTCATAATGTGGACGACAGAAAGTGCTGTCAATGGAATGAGTCACCGTGATTGCAAATGGAGATATAAATTAATCAAATGAAAAGAAATCCAATCCAGGGCCTATCTAATGAGCTACCATGTGACCAAACAAACATGACGAAGCTCACCACCAATTTCCTCACTGCAGCACAATTAGACACGATGAGGAAAAAATAGACAAGGAATTTTAGGCATACATTCCTCCATTTGCTTCATCCTATAGATTTACTGGACACGGCACTACATTGGCTAACCTACCAGCAGTGTTGGGGTAACGTGTTACAGTGAGATATATTATGTTTAGGCGTTAACAAAGTAATACAATAAGTTACTGTTACGTGTTTCTAATGACACCTTCCTGGCAAATGACACTGGAGACTATGTGTGTCTGGTTTTATTGGATTTAACTGCAGCATTTGATACAGTGGATCACAGTATTCTGTTAACTTGTTTGCAGCACTTGGTGGGCATTGGCGGTAGCGCCCTTGCGTGGTTTAGGTCTTATTTAGCTGACAGAACCTTTTGTGTGAGCCTGCTTTGAGTCACGTACTGCCCCACTGTCATGTGGTGTTCCACATGGCTCAATTCTGGGGCCTCTGCTGTTCTCACTGTATCTGCTGCCATTGGGTTCCATCTTAAGGAAACATGGTATTTCCTTCCACTGCTATGCGGATGACTGTCAGATCTGTGTCCCACTGAGCAAAAACTCACTTTTATTACTTCCGCACCATTGGAAGCGAATAACATGGTTGAGAAGTCTCTGTTGGCCAGACCATCCACCGTCATTGTTTCATGAGATAAAATGCAAAACATATTCAAAGTACAAGCAGGTACACGAGCGTGGAACTGCCAATGTGGAATAAACAATTTTGATTGGGCTATGTCATTCAAACCTTTGTAAAGTCATTAGAACAAGTTGCTTAAGTTGTTTGAACATATTGCTAAGTCATTTGAATGTATTGATAAAGTCGTTTGAATGTATTGGTAAGGTCGTTTGAATAGCAGGAATACCAAAAGCAAATGGAATCGGTTTTCTAATAGGCAAGCTTGGCCTTGTTTAGTGCACTGTAGTACAATTAGGGGCCTCCTCCCAAAGCATTCCTACAAACGTGTCTGAAATGTCTCAGGTGAAGTTTTATTGGATTTAACTGCAGCATTTGATACAGTGGATCACAGTATTCTGTTAACTTGTTTGCAGCACTTGGTGGGCATTGGCGGTAGCGCCCTTGCGTGGTTTAGGTCTTATTTAGCTGACAGAACCTTTTGTGTGAGCCTGCTTTGAGTCACGTACTGCCCCACTGTCATGTGGTGTTCCACATGGCTCAATTCTGGGGCCTCTGCTGTTCTCACTGTATCTGCTGCCATTGGGTTCCATCTTAAGGAAACATGGTATTTCCTTCCACTGCTATGCGGATGACTGTCAGATCTGTGTCCCACTGAGCAAAAACTCACTTTTATTACTTCCGCACCATTGGAAGCGAATAACATGGTTGAGAAGTCTCTGTTGGCCAGACCATCCACCGTCATTGTTTCATGAGATAAAATGCAAAACATATTCAAAGTACAAGCAGGTACACGAGCGTGGAACTGCCAATGTGGAATAAACAATTTTGATTGGGCTATGTCATTCAAACCTTTGTAAAGTCATTAGAACAAGTTGCTTAAGTTGTTTGAACATATTGCTAAGTCATTTGAATGTATTGATAAAGTCGTTTGAATGTATTGGTAAGGTCGTTTGAATAGCAGGAATACCAAAAGCAAATGGAATCGGTTTTCTAATAGGCAAGCTTGGCCTTGTTTAGTGCACTGTAGTACAATTAGGGGCCTCCTCCCAAAGCATTCCTACAAACGTGTCTGAAATGTCTCAGGTGAAATAAGTCATTGATTCATTAATTAATTGAAGACATCCATCAAATTCATGGTAATCAGTTTGTTTGGTTTTGGGGTCAATGATGTGATGAAATGACCATGACATGATAGAAATAACATATCATATAGCTTATACAATTAGCATAAAGCCTTGTGGGATTCATTAATACAGCTAAGCCATATATTTAGTCAGTGTCAGCCATGAGGCCAGCGAATGCCTGAGTTTCACGACACGCCTTGTCGTGTCAAGCAAGAAGGCCCGAGGTGAGTTCAACCAATTAGCGCTTTATGAAGACAAACCCAGAAAACGTTGACGTCAATCTGGTATCATCCAACATGATTTAATACAGAGGGGCCACAAACCGGGTCGGGGAAACACGGCACTTAACTGCAATATTTCCACCAATTGACTCTTCGATTCAGGTCAGGTGTCAGAGGTTAATTGCTTGTTGCTGTCTATGAACAGAAAATACCCGCCACATTGACAGATTGATGACTTTCAGTTCTCCGTTTCCCCCACTGCATACATTAAGCTGTAACCACAGCCTTGAGATTCCAAGAATGATGCTCTTTATAAACACATACGATATTGGGATTGAATTGTATTGAACGAGCCTCATCTACTGTACTTATTTTTCATACGGGAGTCTTAGGGATTAACATACAGAAGAGTGTGTGACATTATCTATCAGTTTAAATGCAGGACTGTGTTACCACAGATGATACAGCAGCACACCATTCCCGCTTCTTTGGATTATGGCTTTTAAAGAGGCTTTTTAGTGCCTTCTATTTTCACATTTCTCACAACACTACGGAAAATAGCTGAGTTCATCAGCTATCATTATAGCAGCAACATGAAGTAGTTTTTACCTTCAAATCTGGAATGTGTTGTAAATCAATGACACACGCACTGTCACAATTCTGCAATTTTCTTTCGCTTTCTTTCACAATTTTCTTTCTTTCTTTTGCGCTCTGGAACACTATGTGCATTCCCACTACGTGTACACTTCAATGAGGACTGTAGGGTGTAGTGTAGGGTATTGGCATTGGGCATTTATATACAAAAATACAAAGTAATAAAAGAGAGCAGGGTCGGAATATAAACGTACAAAGTAACAATCAAAAGTAGGGCTGGATGTAGAAGGGATGCAAGGAAGCTTAACTTTCTGACAACGTGTCACTGAGCAACTCCATCTTATATACTGAGAGACATCAGGCCATGCCCGATCCGATCTGAGACAATAAAGGTGACAGCATGACAACAACAAAGCCCTAAGCCAAAACACAGTCAAACACTATCACAGCACGATGCGGCCTATTCGATTCGGTACCCTGAGAATACGATGACCTGGATGAATGAGAAATGCGAATATTCAAAGATATCTTTAAAGTCAGTTTTGACAACCGTAAAAGGACCCTTGGAACAAACAAATGTTAGCTGCACTGTAAAACTGCGAAGCTCTGCTGTCTCAGCAGCCATTCTATGGTCCCGTTCAAAACAAGTTAAAATAGAGCTGTTCATTTCATTTATAGCCCTGCTTTTAATGTAAAAGCATTGCGTGCATCTCCTAAGCCAGATGGCACCGGCCTCATATCTTTCTCCCCTAATATGAAGATTGATCTCCCATCGCTCTGTTCACAGGATCCATTTTTCTTCGATGAAACAAAAAGGTTTTGTCAGACAACAGCTGCACGAGGAGAGAGGGACTCGCTGGCGTGCCTCGTGTTGCTGTGACAGATAGTGGATGGTGGCTCGGGATTGCTCAGTGGCGCGTTCTCCGCACCGTGCGCCATTATGTCACAATTAATACATGTACTCAATGTCATAAAAAAAAAATCCATTCTGGAACTTCCCAAGATTAAAAATAGTTGTACTTTGAACTTTTGTTTATCTCTCACGCGGCAGTTTTTGCCATCCTCGTCAATCCCGACTGGATTATTCCGAGCCTCTTCTTACTGGTGTACAAACTTTTACACAGTGACAGAAGAGCTGTGCATTTGGTACATTTTTCTTCAGTGGAGACTGACCAGACTCTCAATCCTCCTCTTGATGGCACTACTATGCTGCCGCAATTATAGAAACCATCAATACAATACAAAAACGCAATATAAATGCGTACAACTGTGCCAGGTATTTTGAGCAGTTCAGCTCAGAATCAATATACATCTAATGACCTGCTCTCAACTTTCCTACATTCCATCTTATAGTCTGCTCTTTTTCCTCCATGCTGCTCGCTGCATTGTTTATCCTCTTTTGGGTCCGGAGCTTTCAGCCACGCGGCTCCTCATCTATAGAATTTTCTTCTGCAGACACTCCAAGATAGTGACTCACAATTTTCGGTTTTGTCCCAAATTTTTTTTTTTTTTTCTATCTGCATCCTCTATTTCAGTAATTCTTACATTGGTCCTGCAAGCTGGAACTTGTGGGTCCCTAAAATTAAACAGAAATTTTTTTTTCATGATTTCTCTTTTTTTCTCCCACATCAAACAATACCGGCAATTCAAAAATGGGTATATAGACTTTCCTATCCACTGTAAAGTCACCATGCTATATTCATCACTTTCCGGAAAATGAAGAAATAAAACGGCAAACCCGGCGTCAAACCGTAACAATGGCCAAAAGACAAAAAAAAGCATCAGCGCGTCCTGGGACAAAATAATCCATTTGCTGGAGAAGACCAGCACTCTAGGGTAAGCCACAGTGGCTCACTAACCATCTGTGACTGACAGGAGGCTCGACACTCTGCACCGGGGACATTTTGTTTGTTCAAATCTCCCCTAAAAACCCCTAGTGACTACAGCTATGCATGAGTTGTACTGAAAGCAACTTTCAGTTGTGTGCCGTACGGATGCAAAAGAATTTGATGCATGCATGTCTAATCCTTTAGCTTTTGACATGGAGAAGCTCTTACAAATCATAAATAAAACAAAACATAAGAAGATGTTGCTGCTTTTGATGGCAGCCACATGAGGTGTGTTATTTGAGTCCATGAAGATATATGGTATTTGCCGGCTAAATATGCTGCTATACATTGTAATTTATAACTGACAAAACAAGGACAGTTGCAAAAAAGCTTGCAGGAGATAAGATCAGAAAACCTTTATTTGTCTCACAATGGAGAATCATCTGAGGATGAGAATTTGAGGACAATCATTCCACTTTAGAGCCTTTTTTGACACACTTGTATTAAAAGCATATTGAAAGGATCATCATTGAGTTGTAGTAGATTTTTTTCTAAATGTTTTCATTTTGTTGTTTATCCCACCCACAAAAAATAAACACACAATGGCAAGAGGAATAGATTAAATTGGACTGTGACAATCCCGCGGCAGAGCATGACAACAAACTAACATTCTACCTTCTTTACGCTTAACAATTTGTTCTTTGGCGTCTCAGCTCTGTCTCACAATTTATATTAGAAATGAAGATAGTATTTCAAAAAGGCATTCAGGAGGTAGGTTAAAAATAAATTAACTGAGTTTGCCGATGAAATAGAGTTACCCAAAGGTTTCAAACAATGTCAAATCTTTGGGGGACACCCCAACTATCACAGAAGACCATCTAAATTCTTTTTGTCACATTTGTTAAAGCAGTCATTATTACTTGAAAGTAATTCATAAATGATAAATATGATCCATAAAAAGAAATTGCTGTTGATGGCCCCATTTTGTGCCTCTAATTTGATATGCAAGAAACAAGCACGCCTGAGGAAAAACAACCTATCAGAGACAGAAGGCATGACTTAGGAGTTGTCAATCATTTGTCACAGCGTTCCCAACCACAAATGAGTGGAAGAAAAATAAAAAGTCTGAAAAAGGGTAACTGCACTGTTGACCGCTCTTCTAGGTCACATACGGGGAAAAACGAAACTTACAAGCTATCAAAAATTTATTAAAAAAAAAACAAATTCAAGAGCTGGAGGGGAAAGTGCAAATAATGAGAGAGAGGAAGAAAAGCCCACAACTTCGAAGAAAAAGAAAGTCATACGCAGGAACAACTTCTGCAGTTCTATGTAAAGGAATTTGCAGTTTTAAAACGCTTTGGAAGATTTGAATGAAACCTCACTTCACTGATCCCAAACTAACATGTCACCACAAGGCTGCAGGGGGTGTGGCTTGTCAGTGACCGATGAGAGACCTATAAATGTGCTCTTGTCGGTTATGCCTTCTGTCCGATTGGTTATTCTTACCCAGGCACATAAGGGTAAACGATGTAGTGGAATGATTTTTTTTTTCACCCCCGCGTATTTTACAAATGTACTACTGTCAGGTTTATACTGACAGTCTCAGCAAATATGACCAAAAAAAAAAAAAAACTTCAGAGCTTTAAGGTTTATTGCTCCAGGTAATTTGGACCCATTCTGCGTAATATGTGACGTGATTATTTAAGTAAATATATGCCGACAGATTTTGAATCACTAAGACTGAATTTTATTACCATCAAAATATTATGTAAACACTTTTCATCTTAGAGAGGGAGAAAAAAAACCCAATCAAATTCCGGCTGCAAATTCAACATTCAGCTTCATAACCTAACTTGAGATTCACCAGACCAAAGCAGTCGAGGCAGCAGGTTCCAATGCCAGTCAATCATGTTAACTTCCTTGGTTGGCTTACGTTGGATGACGGCTCCAATGATTGCTTTGGCCAGGCTTCTTTCTCCTCGTGACCGACAAGTGATATTTTGCAGAATTTTGACATGAATGTTGAATCAGCAGCTGAAGGCTTTTTTTTTAACTAAAAAGACACTGCTTTATGTTTTGAGGGTAATAACATTCAGTATTAGTAATTCAGATTCTGAATCTGATGACACAAATGCATCCATCCATTTTCTGATCTGCTTATCCTCACAAGGGTCGCGGGGGGTGCTGGAGCCCATCCCAGCTATCTTCAGGCAGTAGGCGGGGACACCCTGAACTGGTTGCCGGCCAATCGCAGGTCACACAGAGACGAACAAGCATCTGCACGCACACTCACACCCAGGGACAATTTTGAGTATTTCCATTAACCTGTCACGCATGTTTTTGGAATGTGGGAGGAAACCGGAGAACCCGGAGAAAACCCACACAGGCACTGGGAGAACATGCAAACTCCACACAGGAGGCCGGACCTGGAATCGAACCGGGTACCTCTGCACTGTGATGTCGACGCACTAACCACTCGCCCACCGGACCGCCTTCTGATAACACAAATACAGTATATTTCCACATATGACAGCACCCTCAAAAATACTCAAGGATGCAAAAAAACAGAAATTCTTCATTTAAAAAAAAAATCCATATGAATATAAAATAACGCTTCTTAAGGCATTAACTGGTATAGTCTCGCCCGTTCTATGCCTGCATGAGCAAATGCAGCGTGTGTCGCATAATTTCAGAGTTCATGGTCCGCAGGAAGTCAGTCAAGCCTCCATTAAGTAGTTCCTCCATGGGCACAAATTGGAGCACCTGTTTATCACAAGCTCGCTGACGTTGACTTGAGTCCTCGCCTTTCAGCAATTCACCAATACAGTTTTGGACTTCTGTCAAAACCGGTAGGATTTGGGCCACAGCTGAAGGGCAAAAGCCAGCACATACGAGCACTGCCCCGACGCCGCCTGACGGGGGCGGGCACCTGAACTTGATTGAGCGAAAACAAGCGTGCAAGCAAAGCACCAACGCAGCCGAAACACGGGTGAGCGCGGATGGCACGAGCAGCAACAGGGCATCTCCAGAGGTCAGCCTCTGCAGGGACATCACGACACGGCTGACGAACAGATGCTGGTACGCCGGCGCTCCGTCGTGCAATGTGCCGTGGCCTCCTTGAGGATACGAACTTTCCGAAGGAAATGTGAGAAGCAGCTCTTCGATTTGGCTCCCACTGGCGTCCCACTCCGAGCGGCTACCGAACACCATACACTGCCTTTTCGTTTTCGTCCCGTTATTATCAGTGCAAAGACTTGCAACGTCTGACAAGATGGACGCGGCGCTAACCGTGTGGCATGCGTCACATGGAAGCACTTGATTGAAGTCTCTCTCAGCTGATGCCAGCTGTGCTTCAGTCAGATAGTTTAACAAGACTCCTGCACAGAACGGAGAGTTTCTGACCGCGGGCAGTACTGCGCCGACGACGATGTACCAGGAATCCATGTGACACCCGGACAGGGGTCCTCGCAGCACGCAATCCGTCCCATCTGTCTCACGGCAGTGCCGCTGTATCCAGTCGGCATGGCAACCTCTCTCGACGCGCTCCTTCCAGCTGAGGGTCTGCAATTCCCTGCGCTCGTTGAAGGAGCCTGCCGCTTGCTTCTTCGGTCCCAGAGGTCGGCCCACCGAGCCGTGGCAGTAGGCGGGGCTGATGGCGCTGCGGGAGATCCAGCGACTCCGGGGAAGGAATCTCACCTGAGCACGGAGACAGTTAGAAATTCATCCAGAGTGAACCCTGACACCTACTGTGTGGTAAACAGAAATAATAAAACACTCAATATTATCTGTCGTAGTGCCTACTTCTGTAGTCCTCCATGAAAGCAGACTAATTACTTTTTGGTAGAATCAAAATAAAACATTTGCAAATATCTGCTTTTACTTTGGAAAATAATGATCAACACTTTAACCTATTTCCTGACATGTTACAGACCAGTACTTGATTTTTATTCATGTTTACGCTTTTTTTTTCCTGATTTGAATATAGCGATGGAAATTAAAACTATTTTTAAAACTCCGATTCATTCATATATCAACAAAATAATTGACAAACTAATCAATTGAAGAAAATATTTGGAGCGCTACAGTAAAATGATGCGACTTCCTACCTGGAAACGTTGCAAGTATTCCTGAGCGGCACAATCCCTTATGTAGTTGAGCCTCTCCCTCCGCTCGGTACTCATTCCTTCAAACAATCTCAAGTTTTCTTTGATGGTCTCCACCTGCAGGGTGTGAAAGTACGTACACAGCTCTTCATGCTGTGCGAGGAACGATGGCGGGATCGAGGATTCCGGGAAGAGCGCCTCTCTCTCCGCCAGATGCGGTCCGTAATTTCGGATGAGCTTGGAGAGCAGAGGCCTCACGGCCTCCTTGTGATCGTAGTGGAGGCACACGACGTAAACCTCTGAATTGCCCGCCTTGCTTGTGGCCGGTTTGAAGACGCTGACGGAGCGGAAGCAGCAGTTGAGCAGGTAGAGCAAACAGACGGAGGAGTGTTCGTACAGAGTGAACATTTTGAGTACGAAGGAGCCGCCACGGCTGAGGAGCAGCAGCGCGGCGGTCACCTCGCAATAATGCAGCGGCGACACCAGCGCCTCTTGCTCATCGGGGTTCTCCTGACAGTCGAAGCTCCCGTCCGCCGTCACCAAATCCACTCGCCGCATGTTTGCCACAAACGTCTGCAGCTCCAGTAGGTGCTTTTGGAGCATGATGTCGCCAGTGTTGTCGGACCCGAAAAACCACCACGGCAGAGTGTTGGCGATTAACCGATCATCAGCGATGGTCGTGCCACCCGCGTTGGCCTCATGGTACGGGTTGAGCGTGTTGGCGGCCCAGCTCCAGTCGCAATAGCGCGTGCGTTCGCAGGTTTTGACATAGTGGTTCAAGGCGCTTATAAAAGCCCCGGGAGCTTCACATAGGTGAACTGTGTTGAGCTCCCCAGAGTGCAGCGCCTCCTCAGAAAGAAGATTAAATGTTCCCAGGATCTCATAGAACTTACACCATGCCTGAGTGCAGATTTCCGCATTGGCAGCAGAGCGCACCGTGGCGATGACCTTCCCAGCCCGGTTGGTGGAGTTGGTGTGGTTATGCCACACTTCGATGTTCTTGTCACTGAGCTGGTTCTTCACAGCATTGAGGGATACCTTTAGGGCCTGAAGGCAGCAGTTTTCTACTTTCGCGTGTGGTCTCAGGGCGACATTGGCACTAGGGCTGCACCATTCCTCATTGGACGGCTTGAGATAGGTTCTAAATTTACTGAATAGGCTTTTAATCTCAGTCGATGCGTCAGCATCACAAGATGAAACGCTGCTCACTTGCGGTTGCTGACTGCAGACTTTCTTCCTCGTTCCATTGCCTGAAATCATCCTCATAACCTGCTGTGGTAGAAAAAGGTGTTTGGTAAAATCAAAAAGACACGAAATGCAATGGACATAAAAAGTCTACATAAACCCAAATGCCAAAAAGTGACCAAGATAAATCATCTTGGCATTTACGATGAACCCAGGTTGTGTTTATGGCCAGGAACTTCAACCTTGGTTTCATCGGACCAGAACAAAATCTCAAATTACATATCAAATGCGAGCTCAGTCTGTCTAGTGCGTCCCCGAAGTGACCCGCATGCGGAGAAGAAGAGACAACATCACTCACAATGTCATGTTTACAGAAGTAAATGTGGGCCGGTGAGTATCGGTTCATCTTTTTAATCATCTTATATCTCCAGAGGACCGATGCGAAAGGAGGTATAAATATTTGGGGGAAATGGGGAGAGGCTTTTCGATTTCCGGAGATCTCGACAAAAGATGACGTCATGTCATTGCCACGAGTCATCTGTCTGTGTAGGTGAATTGCTACTATCACCACAAATGTCCACTTGATGCTTCTTGTTTCAAGTGGGGGGAAATTAAAGTCAACTATAGGGAGTAAAATAATACTGTTATTCAATACAACTGCAGATTCACGGACAATCAAATAGTCAATCTCCCTCCCAAGCGCTTTCTCCCCTGCCTGATCAGAGCGCACCTTGGGCTTCTGGTGACATCTAGGTTACATATATGCCTGGCCATTCAGACTGCAGTCCCTTTGAAAAAAAACAAAAACAAAAAAAAAAACATCTGATATGTATCTGATCTACGACCACATATGAAAGTGGCCCAGGTCGGATAAGAAAAAATTCTGAATTGAGCCGTCAGACGGTCATTTAAAAAATAATAATAATGATCATTTTAAAAAAAATAAAAATCAGATGCAGGTCGCACATAGGCGACAACATCCGATCTGGGTCAGATCTGCCTGCAGTGTGAACCGAGCCTTAGTTTCTTTTTGACCAGCAGCTAACATAGCTTTGCGTCTACTGTTGAGCAAAAACTAGTCCATTAGTATCGATTTGCAACCCTCTTGTTAAGATTGGACTAATACTAATATTAAATGAGCATTTGGCGATGGTGTGGGACTCTCCTGTCGCCAAACAAATAACAGACAGACCGGGGTCGCACCGCATTGTTGGTTTTCACAGCACATGTCATCATTCCCGAAGTGTATCGCGACTCAAAATGCTTCTCTTTGCTCTTACTTGTCCATAACAGCCTCACACCGCTTTGCACAGACACTCGGTTCATAGGCCAACGTACCAATGGAGAAAGTGACCGTACCTTCATTTTTGCCTGCTCTTTGAAGCTTTTAAAATACATAACATCCTAAATTCTTAACACATTGACAAAATGCAAACACCGTTTTGTTTACAAAAACAATTAATGTTGTTGTCAGTTCCCTAATTATTTTTTAAACATGTTTGTCGGTGCCTCAGTGTCAAAATCAGAGTTGCTCCAGGTACAGCAAAATATAAATGACAGATACCTCATAAAAAGTGTACAGTTGACCGATCTTACTGAATGTGGGTTTATTGCCTGTTTTTCTTGAGAGTATAATTAAATTGATAGAATAAGTGGTCCACTTTTCCAAAAATGGCGGTGTTCATAACTCTGGAATGATCGCCACACATGAAAACCTCTATTGAAAAGAAAACTGGTCTGAATTGTTAAGTTACGAACCATTCGTCGTCAAGGTACACTAATTTTAAACCGGGGACAATTGCGAGCAAAACTTCCTTATCAATAGAGAAATCGCGTAAAAAGTAACCTTTTAAACGAGCTAAACAACCAATTATGGACATTCTAACCGTCTAATATTAGAAAATGTTTTCGGTGCAATGTTTTTTTTTACAACACGTATATTAAGTACAGATGTAAACAGTGGAAAGTGTTAAAAACTCACCGGACAAGGCAGCACAGAACCCGGAAGACAGCCAGTCACGTGATTATGCAGGTTTACGAACGAGTCACGTGATCTATCAGACCTATATTACGCATGCGTAAACACCGGCATTTTGAAGGACAATATATGCTGTACTGTATTTGGGGGCGTTGTGTAAATTTCTTTAAAATCACATTTAGCAAAATCATTATTAAATATTATTTGTATTCATTTATTTATTTTAATTTTTTTAAACTTTAACTAAACAATTAAATCGTTTGTGCACCCTGATGAATTAATTGCAGCCTCTTCCGGTGACAACAAATTCCTTGGCCACGAGAGACAATACCTGTACAGTCATGTATCCACAAGCAAAGAAAAATATCACAACTTTAAGCAACTCAGTAAACTGCAGTCATTATTTTTTTTTTTTAATATTTGATTGTACTTTAAAATGTACAAATCTTTGAACATTTTAAAGAAAAGTATATACCGGTACTCTAATTAAGTTTGACAATGTCATGTACATTTTGCATTTATTTGAGATGCAAGATACAAAGTAGTTTATTGAACCAGTTCCACAAGAACAGTTTTAGACACAATTACCAAATGAATCATAAAACATCTGCTTGCTTATAGCCTTTTAAATATGCCTCTAGACATTTGTCTTCAGAGCTTCACTGATTTGCACATTCATTAACATAAATCGTGAATGCTCTGCAATGTGATGTCACTTTGACAAATCACATTGCTCACAATATGTCAGACATGCAAATAATCCAATATAAGATGTCTCTTCGAACATTCCTAACATAGACTATGCTCTTTTTATACTGAGCCGGCTTGTGTGAGCATCTTTTTCGACAACAAACTGATCTGTACCTTATAATTAAAAGAGCTGTCTGGCATTTGAGATGATCCAATCTGACTTTTGCCATATAGTTTAGCAAAGAATGACCATTATGTATGGATGTTTATTTTCTCTACTTAGGGGCCATTTCCTATAGATATAGTACATATACATTCAGCATGTTCCATGAGGATAAATTAGGTTTTGTAAGAGATGGGGGAGTTGAGGGCTTAAAGCAAAAGCAGGACACCCACAGAGGGAGCCTTATTCATAAATAATGGGCCTCAGGGATATACAGGTGCAATTAGGATTTCCAAAATGGTAGCTGTAAAAATTTTGTCTTTCTATTTGCAGCTAAACCACTGGAACCTTTTGTAATATTAATGAGTGCATTATGGAGTACACTTAGTTGCCCCTTTCACAAGACAAGTATTGTGCAAACCAGGACATACTATTAGGCAAAAACAGTCAATTGCCTGGGTGCCCCCCCCCCAAAAAAAATTTGATCGGGCTCTCATAAAAATTGATTCATGAAATTTTCTTCAATTTAAAGTAGTTGTAATTGTCTTAATATTTTTTTGTTCAATTAAAGACACATCAAAATGTGCAATATATCATGGTCAATCCGAGTGCACCATTCTGCACCATATTACAGCAGGTGCAAACTTGATTCACATACAGTATTTCATTTCAAGGTAGCTCAATGTGCTTCACACAACCAAAATCGCAACGCTTTCAAGCATTTACATACAGAACAGTTGAAGACATTCATCCGATTATACCAGTAGTCGATGGAATCATCAATCGGATAATCGATTTTAAAATGATATTACTGTACAACCAAAAAGAAAAACCCTTCAAATGATAATAATGCGTGGGAAAAACCTGTATGTGCATGTGTCTGTGTATATGTGCTTGTGCAACAACTGTTGTATTATGAGGAGATTGAGGTTTTAAAGGTCATGCGTGACTATAAAAAAAGATTAAATGTATTCTGCCAATATGAGGAGTGGCTGCATCCATTCTATACTCTGTGTGGATTATTACAGAATAGCAACAACTGCAACCCCCTCAGTATCACTCAGTGGACAACCTCCATTCTGCTGGGACAAGTCTTGTCGGAGCAACCCTGGTTCCACTGTCCTGATTCCATGTGTTGTCTTCAGTGTAAAAAAAAAAAAGGCTTAATTTGTGCAAATCAATTTTTTTCTCATCCTTTTGATCTGATCAATTAATAAAAATAGAAGAGATTTCATTATCCAGTGATCTGATGATCAATGAAGTTGGTGTTGTTGCTTGTATTGAAAATGGATTCTGTCATTTGCAAGACCTTAGTCACACCTCAATCATGTGGTTGCCTGATTAACTTGTGAGTGGCCAATTATTGCCAATGAATCATGACTGGACAGTGCGCCCTATTTCTCCTATGCATTCTAAATCTTCACAAGAGATTGGAAAATTCTTTGCTCCTTATTTTGTGCATATTTTTCTTGTGCCTCATTTTCGAGTCATGACCAATCAACCCACGCTTAATCCAACTGTTACATAGTTTTACAGTTGGATTGAGTATAAATTGTTTAGTCACTGTTACACAGCAGTCGCTTGAGAACTGAGTTCAATAGACATAGTCCATCCAGTGTGAATGTGTAGCAGATGCCAGCTCCCTCATGTGGAAAGGTACGCAAGTCAAGCTTAACTCCTCGAGAGCCTTAAAAAAAAGTGCTAGCCAGTGGGCTAGCAGCTTAGGCTCTTAGCCCGCTAGTCAGTGCACTCAACGTTCACCCGAGGGATGTAGGTTTGAGCCTCAGGCAGGACTGTTGCTGGATGACACATGAGTTCCTGAGTTTTTGTGTGACAGGAGTGACTTTAGACAAGCTACACTGCCATCGTATGAAAAATCAATGAAGCTTAACGTCACTGCATCAATGCTACTCCATCTGCTATTACTCATTTACGACATTGCTTGTGGCAATTTGATCATGTATCTAATTACTTCATATTTTTTCTTCATAAAATGTATTTTATAAATAAATTGGGAAAAAATATCTACTGTTCAGTGAGACATACCAACACCTCTCTCAGCTCATGTGTACAGCCCTAAGATTAAGCATTCTATGCAGAGGATAAAGAATATACAGTAAGGCTGGAACAACTGCTATATTATCTGTATACATGTGTTGCTGGACTGGTTGTACTCAATCTGTTTCGTTAATGTTTAAATCACCATAACATACAGTAGATGCTAATTAACATAAGCTTAATGCTAGGAGACTGAAAGTGGTTGTTTTAAATACATACTGTGGAATTCTCTTTGTTTTATCTTTCGGTGGATAGTAAACGTGTACTGTGGGTGGCACTACACATCTTAAAGCCTCTTTTTTTATGTATTGATCACTGTTTTCCAAATTGATACTTATTGTCAAGAGTGGTGATTTGAGTTCACTGCTACCATACTGCACTGTATTATAAAGATGACAAAAATCACAAGGAGCCAGAAACTCATCCAGATACGATCGGATTATGTCGACATTATGAGGAAAATGAACACCATCCGTGCATCACATTTGATCATGCTTCACAGAAACGTGGTGAAAGAAGTCTCTTCTTCATATACGCAGTTATTACCATGCAAGGCTTACCCTGCAGGCCAGCCTCACAGTGATGGACGCACGCTATCTCCATCCATGATGACTTCAGTCTGCCGACCATAACCTTGATGCATAATCAAAAAGGCATATAGGGACTGTGTACAGATACATGTTACACAGTAATATCATACAGAACAAATGTGCATGTATCCAGCAATCTCCAAAAATAAAAATGAAAAAAAGCTTTCCTTTTATCTAATTACACACACACACACACACACACACACACACACACACACACACACACACACACACACACACACACACACACACACACACACTCACACACAGACACGTACATACATAGTATACATCAATTACGATCCGGCCCCTTTTTCTGACATTCTTATCAGGAACAATTAAACATTTAAGAGACACGGCGCCACAAATTAGCACCACAAGAGGCGGACATTACGAGTAATTTCTCGATAACACAGTAGCTAAAGGGGACAGCGCAGTAATGAATGTCGCAACGGAAAATGAAAACATAATCTAATGTAGAGAATGAAGAATGTTTTAGGCGGTTGCTGCGAGATGCTAATGGCCTGTCTGTCCGCCCAGCCACTTTGGTTAAAGTATCTTAACAGATGTTTGATTCCAGTTGAGATGTTGAATCTTAATGTCATGGATTATTGTTCATTTATCTGGTATGTTTTTGGTTCGAGATGATATACCGGAATGTAAGTAAGCCACCATTAGATTTGCTGGAATGGCCTTATGACAGACCTCTGCCAAGACTGATGTTAGTTTGTCCATCTGTTTGTTAGCAAACTAGTTCTTGGTTTGCAGATGAAGATGAACAAACGGTGCCATTATGGTTCTCGCAGCATTCTTTTATCTGCATCTTCCTCCATCACCAGAATCGTGCTTTATTGGCACATCACCTGCATGCGGAGTGTAACATAATGATTGCATAAAAAAATAATGCATTTCAGCTATCTTGTGTCTGCTTTATATTGATTTTCTTTTTTAATCGCCAAAATGTTTTCATCCTTAAAATGCTACCATGCATATTTTCTGTTGAAATTTATGGGTATGATGACAGCGTGTGGCAGTGAGCAGCCAGCAGCCAGCTTCACCTCAGATTGCGATCTCTTGCAAAAAAGCAAAACTAGCAGAGCAACACCTTCATCTATTGGTAAAACTACTTTGTTACAACAGAGGGGGCTATTGGCAAGAGACTGTTCTGTCGCTCATGACTCCAAAATAATAATTATATCAATTTTTAGGTCATATAATAAGTAGTAAATTACACTCTGATTTTCTATAGTCGGGCTAGTCAGTGATATTTGTTCTGAGGCAGAGACGTATGGACATCAAGTAAAGGTCAGATCCATCCACTCATCCATCCATCCATCCATTATCTGAACCGCTTTATTCTCATGAGGGCCGAGGGCGTGCTGGAGCCTATCCCAGCAGTCTTTGAGCAGTAGGCGAGGTACGCCCTAAACTGGTTGCCAGTCAATCGCAGGGCACACAGAGACAAACAAGCATTTACACTCAATTAACCTACCATGAATGTTTTGAGAATGTGGATGGAAATTGGACTGCAAACTTCACACAGGAAAAACGGGGCCTGTAATTGAACTCCGGACCTCTGCACTAAAATGAGAAAAACTAGATTTTGATTGTTGTTGTTGTTATTCTTTTGTCGAATGGTGTCTGTTTAAAATATTTTAGAATCTTAATGTAAAAGTTTTAAAATGAATGGAATCCTTCGGTATCGGTCTAAAATCAAAACCTTTTTTTTTTTTTTGCACAACACTTTTTAATGTGATGAGGAGCCTTCTAAATACCGGTAAGAAAGAACTTGCAATAGTTAATACACCTCGGGCTGTTTCATCATATTGGCAGGACTGACGTTGATCCTGACTGTTCCTAATACTTGTTCCTTTGAGTTTCTCTTACATAGGTTTACAGAAAAGCAGCTGAGAAAATTGATGTTAATTTTCAGCCCCCCCCCCTCCCCCAACCCCATTTGCTGGATTAAGTCATTTCGCCAGCAGGTTGAAATACTGTATAATCTCCCATGGGCTCAAGCAGCATTCCAGTCTCTGGAGGTTGAGAACTGCACTGGATGGGTGGGACAAAAACATTACAGAAATTAACTGTTGTTTCCTGATGGTTTATAGTTTAATTACATTCATTATCCATAGTACATGCACCCAGAGGGAGAGATCTTTTGTCTTTCTTTGCCATGTGCTCAGTTAATGCTCATACACAGAGGCATCCAGGCACATTTAAATTCACTTGAGGAATTCTGTTCACCATACCTCAGCCATCAGTCTTGAAAGGGGACAGTTATAGACTAAAAACAACCTCTGGATGATTCAGCACCAAGGCACAGAAAAATATGTAATTTGCCCACTAGAGGAAGAATGGCAATTCACTAGTAGAGAGAGGTGAACATTCTAATTGCATGAAGACTTGGAGATGATGTAAAAACGGTCATACGTGCCATGAATAAATTTCAGTTGCAAAATTGCAATTTTCACTTCAACAAATGAATGACAGACCGTTACGTCCTTCAATAAAAATATAATTTATAAAAGATGCACTACTACCCCCTGTCAGCTGTGAGATAAACCCATTTTGCTGTGCACATTAGAAGAGAGGCGTATTTTCACACAGAATAAACCTTTCATCATTACTTTCAGACTGTATGATGTGATTATATAAGCAATCACATCGAACAAATGATTTATTTGATATTGTTTGACTTGGGCCTGTTTAAATTACATCACAAAGCAATAACACTCACACAAAATAATAATAATAAAAATTAAAAATCAAGGCCATGAACGACCTGGATGAGAATCAAACACACGTTTAAAAAAAAAAAGAGAAACCCCCCAAAAATGTAAGTTCACATTCTCAAACGCCCAGGAGTCACAGTGGAGCACCAAGATGATTATATTGATGATGACGATCGATAAGACAATCAGAATTTATCAAGAAGCTCCATGACAGCAATAGTCGTACTCTGTCCAAAGATGAAGGCTCCAACAACAATGGTTATGATTCCCCAAACTGTTAAAACGACTCTGCAAAATGTGACAAATGCATTAGTAAAAGCATCAACAACATATTCATGCAGTGTCCCAACATATACAGAACAAAACTTTAAAACGTGATCAAACTTTGCTTGCAAATCTGACTAAATATGTGTTGGAGAGCACTTCTCTTTTGTCAAGAAAATCTATAAATCTCGAGGGTTCTGAGTTTTACTTTTAAAATGTGGTAATGGTAATGTAAATTTTAAATTACTTTTATCAAATACGAATGAAACAATATATTTATTTATATAGAAAGAGAGAGAGAGAGAGAGAGAGAGAGAGAGAGAGAGAGAGAGAGAGAGAGAGAGAGAGAGAGAGAGAGAGAGCCTGTATGTTCAGTGTCGAAATGATTGGTCATACACTTTAGTGATACTCACCGTACTCTCGGGCTCACGGGTTCATTTTGCATGATGAACACTAAGCAAAGACCTGCGTTACAAGACAGGCAAAACTTCTTAGAATTTATTTCAGCAATGCAGCCTCAGTTCTCCACAGGATAACTTACACATTGACGATCTACAGGGTAATCTAAGATATGTATCAAAACATTCTCACTCAGTTAATGTAGATTTGTCAAGGGATGTCGATGAAGGTTTTGTAAATGAGGTCATTCATTCCAGATTTGGAGGACATTTTCTTTCCGCCTATGATATTTCAAGTAGGGCCTAATCTGTGCACAAAATGCAGGAACATGCACGTGTTGTGGAAAATTACAGTGTTATTGAGACAACCTTTAATTGTGGCTGTCATAAAATAGCTTTTGACAACACCTTCAAATGACTTTTTTTCTCACCCTTGTCCCTCCCTCTGAATGTAATCTTTGTCATTCAACATATATGCAACCCTGTTCCTGAAACATTTTAAGACATCTGGAGAAAGAAGGGGAAAATTACCTCATTTTTCACGACTTTGAAAAAAAAATGACACCATCAAACTACCTGCTATGGTTGTAAACCCAAGGTAAAGCATCTTTTCCATTTCTCTTTTTTTCATGTTTTCAGCCTTACGGGAGTGAAGACAATGTATGATTGGAACAATACAAATCAATATAAACGTCTTTGTTTTCTTTACTATATACAGTAGCTACATTCGTTCTTGACCAGTTAGCATAGCAGCTAACACGGCGATCATGTCTTGTTGGGCCATGACCATGCTACTGTTATTAGAGTAATACTGTGTACACTACTGTGAGTACAGTAACACTAAAATTATCATTTGCACCAAGGATAGTTGAGGCAGACAGATCAAATCATGTGATTGCCTGTTACTTGTTTTCCTTGAAATCACAACCAAAAAGTGGTGAAATAAAAGGACCCCCCCCCCCCACTCCCCGCCTTTTTTTTTTTCCAAAAAAAATCAGGTATCTAAATTGTGCTCCAATTCTGGAATGACTCCATTAGAGATTGGCTACTTTTTATGTACTTGTGCATTTTTACAAAAACATGTACCGGGAAAGATAAAGATGAAGAAGGCACTGATTCCTCCAATGACACTGATGACCTCGCCCATGTCAGGGACAAACATGGCAATGAGAAGAGTAATGGTAATCCAGATCACAGTGAGAAGTGCCCTGCAGCGACTCTCAAAGGAGCTTGTGACGATTCCTCGACGACGCCTTTGGATTCGCACCATCAGGTTCAGGATGACGGATCTGTGAGACACGCAGACTTTCTTTTGGAGTGTAGCAAACACACAACTCAGATGCCGTACATTACTGGCAAATCGTCAGGATGGACATGTGCATTCAAAGGTTTAGAGAAGGTCAAAGTAAGTTCACTTGTATTGGTTATGCGTAGTGCATTTTAGGTTTATCCTGAAATTTTACCTAAGAGCCCAATTCCCCACCCCCTCAATATATGTAAATGTTCGCTAACCAAAGCTAAAACCTTTGCTACGTGTGCAGGCAACAATTTTGGTATTACTTACCTCCCGAGAAGAAGAATAATTGGATAAATAGTAATAATTGATATTCCAAAAAGCAGTCTGGAAATGATCATGACAACATCATTTCCTGGAAATGACATCAAGATATCGGAAGCAACTTCTCGACCAAATGTCATGAAGCCATACACTCCTGGCGATAGAAAAAGTGGACACGTTTTACAGTTTTCAGTTCACGATGCAAAGAACTTGATGATTTAGGGAGGTCAACCCACCGGTGAGAGTGTAGATGAGCAAACAGAAGAGCATTGAGATGACGGAGATGACCACCCAGTGCGTAAGCTTCTGGTTCTCCATGCTGCTGTAGATTGCTATACAGGCCTCATGACACTGCGCACACAAGCAGTACTAGAATACGATTTCTACAAGATATCTGTGGGAAATGTTGTCCATTTGTGAAGTCAGAGTCAAAGTCACTCATATTATAATTGAAAGAGGGCCTGATGGCTCCAAATCTCCATTCTAGTTTGTACAATGTGTTTAATTTGGTTGAGTGAGAAAATGCACTTCATGTGTGTGTTTGGTTGTTTATTTCATTCCACATTTACTGTCACTCTGATTTCCGATAAGGAGGTGATGAACTCAATATGCTGCAATTAATTAGAGGACACAAATAATATATCCTGCATTCAAGACATTCTAAATACAGTATGACAAACTACCTGGAAACCAAAGCAGATGGTCGGCACAACACTGAACATGGATGCCCACGAGCCCAAGCTGTAAAGACACGGCCATCATTTGCAGACCAAGACAAAATTAGACAAACACCATAATCGATTCAGATGAAGGTGAATTCATGTTAACTGACACAAGTTTGAACAAAAAACAAATGAGTTCCATCAAACCAACCTCTTGTGAACTGCAATTGTTAACAGACATTTTGCAAGAAGACATTTTGAAGTACCGGTATTCAATGTCTCCAAATATTTTCACAGTTGGTATTCGTTTCACAGAAATCAAATGTAGCGTCAGTGTGACCTCTGGTGGATAAAATTAGCAACAACAGTTTAATTGTAAAATTAGAATTAGTGAGTTTTAAGATAAGATAAGATAAGATAAGATAAGATAAGATAAGATAAGATAAGCCTTATTTTACAAGCGTTGCAAAAAAAAAAAAATGAAAATCCTCCTCACGGCTGGTTGGAACCCATTTTTCCATTACTTTACTTCTGTATGTCTGCATTATTTTGTCTCCATGTGGCCAAGGTGCACACACCAAGAAGGAGTAGTACAATAGTACAATATCCAATGAATTAAAACAAAACAAAAAAATGTAGCATATTTATTGTGCCATGCTGGCATGTTTTATGAAATACAAAAACCATTGTGACTGACAAATGGCACGTTTTATGAAGCACAAAAACCATTGTGACTGACCCTTGGGGGTGCTGTGGCGTTAGGATGGCCATGTGGCTGTCCATCAGGTAGTATTTGACAATCACGGCCACACACAGATAAGTCGCAGCCAATGTCCCCAGCACACTGTGGTGATGAGAAAAACGTTCAATGACAGCAATAGAATGTCATTCCAATGTACACTTGCACAAACCTTGTGTATTTCTGAATGCCAATTTCTTTGGGGATTGACAGTGGAAGGATGATGATGAGACACATGACGAAGAGTGCAAAGCGCTGGTCAGTGTACCAGTGATACGGCACTTCCCCTTCACCTGAACCCGTCACAGTCTCATACAAAGAAATACACACTGGAGAACACAAAAATATAATTATTTGTTCCATAAATAAAAAATTCATATTTGCTAAAAAAAAAACATGTGAATCGTGCATATGTACAGCAGAAGCCATTTTCAAAATAGGCGTTCATCGAAATCTTATCAGGCTGAGTGTTTGAGCCCATCCGCAGTGTTTGCAGTATTTCGGATCAAAATGGATTTTTGGGCGTGGGTTTGAAAATCCAATCAAATTCTCTGTTTAAAATTCCGACAGCAAAAACAATAAAGGGATTAGAATGATGTCCGATGGACAAAATGACAAAAAGAAAAATGAAAAGCAGGTTGCGGTCATGCTTCCCAAGCACATATTTATCATAATACTAGATACAATAAAAAATCAAGTGTGGATGATCGAAAATGGATTATTACTACTAGTAGTACCTATAAATCTACAAACACATTTTTTTTTAAATTAAACAAAATATTTTAAGGAGGCTTTTCATTTTCATCACTTAAAAAATAATAATTTTATAATGTGAAAATAGAACTCTATAATACGGTACCTAAGTAATAAAATCATAAAAAAGAAAACAATTCAATAGAATGTAAAAAATTATACAGGTTGTTTATCTTTCTGATGTATTTGCCTTGGCCACCAGGGAGCAGTATAATGCAGACATGGAGCAATCCATGGAGCCTGTCACAACTCCTCAGTAAGCCACACTAATATTCGTCATGAAGACGATTACAACTAAGCTCACTAATGTAGTCTGCAGTGAGGCAATATTAGTTATTTTTTTCGGTAGAGGATGAAGGACATATACCTGTGAGTATTTTTATATCGTTTTTTACTTGACTTCCCCTTTAAAGAGTTATCACATAAGTTCCAATTGTTAGCCCATTTATCCGAAGTCAGGTGAATTAACAACCCCAACATCAGACACTAATGTCCACAACAGCCTCCAAAAATATGTTATGACAACCGACCCGCTCATAAAACTCCATCTTTCATGGAGGGTGGACTCACATTTCTCCAGCTGGTCTTGCACCACTACCAGAAAGGCCACGCATATCATGAAGAGGTTGAAGCAGAAACAGACCTCACACAGTTGGCCAATGGCTCGTCCACACACTTCTCGGACCACATCCTGATACGTCTTTTGTCTGCTGACAGATGAGGCGTAGCCAAGGATGACCAGTCCGCTGATGAGGAACACCAGAGATACCTGCACGAGTAGACAAGACTTTGTTGTCACCAACAAATTGAGACTAAGAATCAGTTCATACAAATTATTAACCAATCCGAAGTGTTGAAGAGAGCCTAAGAGATCATTTATTTTGGCCTTATTAAAAACAGATCACTAGCAGAAGGAAGCCAATCAGCCATGAAGTTACGTTTGCATGCAGAGTAAAATTCGTGTAGTTAGCTCATTGAGTCTTTTGTAATTATTACAATATTCCTTTGAAAAAGTTTTGAAAGATGATGTAACCACAGCTATGCGCTTTTTCTTTATCTAAGGCTTTTTTCTTGTAGGCTGGCAGGTAACATTTAATCAATGAGAGTGGTATTAATTCGCTTTTGTATTGGGAGGTGTTGGGTTGTTGTTCGTGCACAATATAGTATATGATAGCAATAAACTATGATACCAACTTTAATGATGCAGCGTTTAGTAACTCAAGCAAGTTGGCTTTCTTTTTTTGATTTCCTGAAAGTAGACGTCTTGGAGATGCAAGGATACTGACAGCGCTGTTATTTAAAAACTTTTCCCAAGCAGTGCACCTTGACAAAATTCTGACGGTGACCTCTTCAGGCAGCTCCTTTAACTTCTTGTCTTGTTTCATTTCCTCTTTGTGTCCAGTTGATATTTTTAAGTGATTTAGCACCTTCATAACTCGGTTTTTGCTTTATGTATAATTTGTATGATGATGTTACTGTAATACGTGAATGATTTATTTTTCTCAGCTTGGGTTCCATTCTAAATTGGAAAATCCTCAACTTATTCCGAACCGGTCGAGTCCCCTGGTTGACCTGGAAACCTCGTGCAGTGTCAGTTGGAAGCAGTGCCGTGACAGCTGAAGGCCTCGAGTGGTGGCTATATTAGAACTCACCCGTGAAAAGCTTGGGCCTCTTTCACACCGGGGAGACAAAGAATTGTGTGTGTGTGTGTGTGTGTGTGTGTGTGTGTGTGTGTGTGTGTGTGTGTGTGTGTGTGTGTGTGTGTGTGTGTGTGTGTGTGTGTGTGTGTGTGTGTGTAAAGTGTTCCCCTCGTTTTTGTGATTCTCTACTTACAAATTTACATATTCACAAATTTTTGGAGGGGCCGAGGGATCTGTCCTCTGTTATTCACTGTTTGGAGGCTCAAGCCAAAGCTGTGTCTACAATAAAAGTTATGGCTGTGCATGAATCAACTGTGATTCGAATGGGGATTCGAGTGGGCATGAAAAAGTGAACATTGAATTATAATTTTCATATTTAGTGCAAACAAAAATTAGAATATTGTTGTGTATGTTATTACCCCGCGACCCTCATGAGGATAAGCAGATTAGAAAATGGTGGTATCGTATTTCCAGTACGATATCACATTTACAAGTGCGCCACTCGTCACTCTTCAACAAATTCAAGGTAACGTTAGTACAGTATATTATTATAATGCTGTATTCAAAAGAATTTTTAGCACCAGCTTCGAGAGTTAGAATGTCGACAAAAAATACTGTCGCTGTAGCAGATATGTAACTAGCTAAACAGCTTACTAGCAAGACTATGATTGGTTAATTGGTTGACCATGTAAAGGGGAGAAGAGCAGAGAAGTTGCTCCTCATCTTCTGATCCAACAAGTACTTTATCTATCGGACAACATGTAAATTTTATTGAGAAAACTTCTGTTTATTTTCTTTTTACATAAAGTAATGAACCTCTAGCACATGTTCAAACGAGAAAAAAAAATGCCATTGTTTATCCAAACATTTCAAAATGATACATTTTAGAGCTGCAATGGCAATACAGTCATACCATGAAACAGCTCAGTTACAATCACGTCAGAATCTGATATCAACCCATGCCTAATTATATTTTTATGAAGACTCAATTCAATTCTCTACATTGTGAATGTTATCTTACCAGTATGCACTGGCCTAAATCACTTCCTTGCTACTTACTTCTGTGTTCACCTACCAGCTCCACGCTAACAGCAGTAGTCACTCCCCCGGCTTTCTGGAAGGCCCAGGGGAAGTTTAGCAGTCCGGCACCAAGCGCAGACTTCAGCATAATGAACACAGCACCGAAGGATCCCAACCGCGGGGGATCTGAATGGGATGCAGACCGAGCCAGCAGGCTGATGCTCTCCCGAGCAAGTTCCTCCATGATGCTTTGTCTTCACCGACACTCACTCACACTTCCTCGAGGCTGAACTAATTTCTCCGCTCTGGTCCAGTTGCTGTCTTGGTCATTCTGAACTACTTTACAAATGATCCTAGAGGGGGGGCAGGTACGTGTATGGTCCTCCAGCCACTTAAGCCACGTGGTCTAATTGGACAGTTTGACTATTAAACATTTCACTCCAAGGTGTCAAATGTGACACTTAGGTGTCTGCCTTGTCTTCCTCTCGTTCAGGTTAGCCTGAAGCTTAAATTTTGACTGAGCTCATTGGTGTTGCACAGAATTTCTTTCCTGTCAACCTCAGATTGACTTTGCACATTATTTAGAAAGTAAAAAGTGTTGAGAGGGCTTTAGCTGTCTCTTGAAAACGCATACAGTAAGTAAATGTATGTGGCGTAATAACCCTTTAAGCAATGATTATTTTAGCACAAACTGTGGAGCAACACATGTAGACAATCCATACAGCTACACTTACAGGCCCATATACTTTCTCCTAAAAAAGAAAAGACGAATATGATTGCAGTTTAATAGGTGCATTGTGAGACTCTTGAATAGTGTGTCTGTACAGTATGACTATAATATACTGCCCCCAGGTGGCCAAAACAGACATACTAGAAGGAGCAACATAATATCGATTGAATTGATGCAAAAAATTGTGGCAAAAACTGTTTCGTTTCTATTCATTTTAATTATGTCATGTTTTATTATGTACAATGTCAGAGAGAGGTATTTTACTTTTTTTTTTTGTATCTTCTGTCACCTCGTACACTCGAACTCTGCATTAGAACTTCATAGATCTGACATGACGTAAGTTATGCCTAGCCTTTATTCTATTTGGTGGCCTGCCACTGGAGAAAAAAGATGGATTCCTCAGAATAGGTACAGTAATTATTGTATAAGTAATTATTTTCTGCTGAAATGCAAAATCATATGTTTAGTGAGCATTTTAGAAAATGATCATGGAGAATGGTGATGTTTGCAAAAAATTTCAAGTGGAAGACAAAATTTAGGATTCCTCACATACAAGACAAAGCAGATCAGTGACCTCATCAAAATAATGATGTCCAGTGTCCTGTTTTCTATTTTTTTCTCTTTATACACAATCACTCTGTCACATTTCTTTCTTTTTTTTTTTGTTTTTTTTGTTTGTTTGTTTTTAATGAACTCATGGTTACAACTGTACAAGCCTATGAATTACTGACTGTCAGTGACTCTGTGATGAAGTAGATCTATTAAATGTTTGCATTTGTTTATGCCCTGGTCCTATAGAACAGAGAAAACAATCTGGTACATGGCACTCTGTAATCCTGAACATGTTTGACGTTGCACACCATCTGTTGTCCACAAGAGAGAGAGAAATTGTGTGCTACTCACTGTTTTTAACACCATGATTGTAAGACTTGGAGAAAATGTATAATTGCAATATTTCACCTACTGTACAACAAAAATACTTTTCAGCAGAACAAAGACATCGACTGAGGGCAAACAATCCTAATTTTGGCATCAAACAGATTTACGCAGATTCATACATTTTGTTCTGAATATTCATGTGTTATTCATTGCAGTGACTGACTGGCAACCAGTTCAGTGTATAGCCGGACTTTCACTTGGTGGGAAAGGCTTCATCTTGATTCAATCCTGAACAGGATATGTGGTGGAAGAGGATGGATGGATGGATGGATGGATGGATGGATGGATGGATGGATGGATGGATGGATTGATGGATGGATGGCATTGTTCTTTGAGAAATTAAGAATGTGTTGAAAAATGCCTAATCTCACAATGGAAAAAAAAGTCCATTTTGAAGTCTCACCTTTATGGCTCTACCTAAATTTGAGCTTAGCACTAACACTCAACATAATTTCCTGAACATTGGAAGCAGTGGTGCGTAAAGTTGCAGGTCTCAAACGCAAGGCTCGGGGCCTGATCTGGCCCACCACATCATTTTATGTGGCCCGTCAAAAGATAATGATATGCATCAAGTTCATGTTTCTTGCTGAAATACCAAACTTGCAAGTTGTCTTCACTTATAAAAATATTAGGATATTGCAGACATTTTTGTTTCTGTCCTCTGATTTCAAAACGAGTTTTTCATCAGTTTGTTGTTCATATGTCATATGAGGCAACGATACATTTATTTGGGTTCCTCGTCAGAATGGCCCCCTGTCGGAAACCATAACTACAATGTGGCCCACGACAAAAATGCGTTCAACACCCTTGGCATTGGCAATGCGATTCTAGTTTTTCTTTTCCAGCACAATAATGATTTCAACATAACCGGCATACTTAACTGGATCTCATAATGCTCCACAATAATGGCCTGCACGTTGATCAACGCATTCATATTCAGGAGACGTTTTCCTTTCTACATGCTGATGCTGGATACTGAAAAAAATGCCATTGTCAAACGAGTCACTGAAACAGCAGACAAACCAACGACCTTGAACATGTAGTCAGTCTTATTTCATATCAACACTGCCATCATTTAATGACACTCATTCGTGATCGTTTGTGAAGTACTGTCTATAAGATTGCACATTATAAATATTGACTTGAATATAAGTTTAATACAGTAATCTTGTATATAACACAATGGCTGGCTCAGCAGCTGCTGCTTCTTAATATTCATCATGCTGCAGTGATGGTGCCTTGACACCTGACCTCTGACTTTTTTTTTTTAGATGTCACATGAGTGGTCCTCCTCACTCTCAGTTCATTATAATTTTTTTTCTCAGGGCTCTAAGAGTCTTTCAAAGGTTTGGAGGTGGATGGAAGAGCGAATGAATAAAGACAGGCAAGATTAATATACTCATGCCGTGATTGTTATGAAACCGTTTAAGGGTATTAAGATTACGCACACAGATGTGCAAATACTCCCAGCACTCACTAGCTGAAAAAGCTCCATTTTAGAAAACGAAAATCTCTATTTGGAAAAAAAAACCAGCAAAAAAAAGCATTAACCGTGTTTATATATTTGATATCTGTGAAACACAAAAATATCAGATATTATTACTGCTATCAACAATACTTTGTATTAGACATTCCAATGAATCGGTGCCATTTGTATTCACAGGAAATTAAATGTATAGATGCATGATAAAATAAAAAGTAATACTGTTTTTATGAAGCAAAGTATACTGCACAATAATTTTTTTTGGGGCATATTTAATAAATACAATTTAAAATGGTATTTTAAACTACCTTGAACACAAGAAAAATTGCATTTATTGTCTCTTCCCGCTTCCTAAAATTTGAATTGGGCGGGGGGGATTTTTGTCACTTTTATCCCAACTATATCATATTTATATATACTATAGTTTTTTTTTGGGGGGGGGGGTTAAATATACACTTTGGTCATGCCCCTGGGTTTTCCATCAGTCCTGTTTAACGAACACGTTACCACCTCTGAAAAATGTGAGACTCAGGTTGGTGGGTTAAATACTAGTTACACTCCTGTAACCTAAAAATCTATATTTTATATATTTATTTTTCAAATATTTGTTGTTGTTCAATCATTGCGCGGTGCTGAGTGTCAATATGTGGCTATAGTTCATGTTCAAAGCTCTAAACTCACTAGTTTTACTTTCAGTGCCGCTTACTCTAAGAAAGAGTTTCAGTACAATAAAACAATGACGGAAAAAAGTTGCCTGCGATGGGTCAATACACATTTTGAGTATTTTATTCTGTGTGTTATCAGATTTATCATTGCAAGATTTACAACAAGCAAATGGAACCGACTCAGTATTGTGCGTGTTTCGGGGTGGGGGAGTATTTTAACCCTTTAATGCACCCTGTAACCTGATAACATGATAAGCTGTCCCTGAAAGGGTTGAAATTACATTTTTCATCAACTGAATAAATAAAAATAATTGTGTCAATAAATATTAACAACAATATTTATACAGTGTTTGTACTGACATTCACTTTTTTCATTGTTAGCGTATCAGCCAGAAAAGAGTCAGTTCAGTCAAAAGCTGGCAACTGTTTGCAGTCCATTTATCTTGAGCAAAACTCTTTCATTTGGGTAGGCTTCTCTCTGAGAATGGTGCATTTAATCTGATCGTGCTAAAGTGCATTTTAAAGCCGAAACAAGTGTAACAATAAGTCTTCCTGACTCTGTCTCGGAAATTCAGATTCTGGGATTGAGACCTAATTACGTACGCTCCTGATCTGTGATCTGTGCTCATGTGTTTGGATCCTCTCTCCGAAGCTGGTATTATTTTTCTCCTGATCTGGTCACCTACAGTATATGTTCTTGAGTAGCTTCACAATTACATTTTTGTCAGCACTCGGGTCAGAATGTACAGTAAATATATGATAATGTACAGTCTGTTGGTATAACAAGTGGTCATACGAATGTCTCTTAGCAAAAATTAAGAAAATTCCCACATTTGAATCCATTGCTAGTTCCTGAGCAGCACTAACAAAGTGCTGCATGTTAGAAAGATCATTGTGGTAAGAGATGGGACCCATTGGTATGTTCTCCCCTTCAGTGTTTCCTGGTTGGTCTGATCCGAGGTGGGAGGGGTCAGGGGTGCAGGCACAGTGCTGGGTGCGAGGGTGGTGAGGCTGGCGCACATGTTGTAGAGGTTTCCCGAAAACTCAGCCTTCCTGGATTCTTGTCTGAGGGACTCCCACACAGTCGCTGCTTCTCTGGGACAGCCAGACATGGCCGTGTTGGCACAATTATGGAAGTCATTCCAGGACCTTCAAGGAATGAGGAGGTGAAGATCATTTGGTGTGGAATGAATCCATCAATTATTGTGACATAATACTTGTGATGTACAAGTATGAGCCCAAGATAAATCATTTCAAAACTTTTCCCACCATTTGTGTAACCTATACCCTGAACAATTCAATTGGGAGAAAATACAATCTTTTCAAGAGAGAATGTAAAAAATAAACAACTGACATAATGTGGTTGCACAAGTGTACACACCCTCTTTTAACTGGGGATGTGACTGTACACAGAATTAATAATTCACATTCAAACTCGTGTTAAATGGGAGTCAGTTAACACGTGCCATATAGAGTGCCTCTGAGTAACCCCAGATAAAGTTCAGATGTTCTAGTAGGCTTTTCAGATTTATTTATTTTTTTTGCTTTCTTGCAGAAGCCTGATGGTTTTGTGCTAACGCTGAATGTTATTATGAGCTGTTCATAATGCCTTCAAATTCGGGTTAGGGTTATGTTAAGGGTTAGGCCACTAACAATTTAACTCATAACAAAAGACAGGCTGTGGTCTGGTGGTCGAGTGGTTAACGCGTCAACGTCACAGTGCAGGGTTCGCGGGCCTTCCTGTGTGGAGTTTACATGTTCTCTTCTGTGCCTGCGTGGGTTTTCTCCGGGTACTCCGGTTTCCTTCCATATACCAAAAACATGCATGGCAGGCTGATTGAACACTGAATTGTCCAGAGGTGTGACTGTGAGAACGGATGGTTGTTCATCTCTGTGTGATTTTTTGTTTGGCCTTAGGTATCAGTGGCTGGTATCGACAGCCTCCACGAGTGCCTGCCTTAAAATAAGGTAGGTATCAGTCCGAAACTGATACTTGGTATCAGTACTAGCCCATCCCTCGGTTTTGATGGTGAGAGGCTGATTCTCACCTGCAGATTGTGTCAATGTCCTGCGTGTCCTGGTCTTTTTGTGTTACCACCAAACTGTCCCCGAGTGTCAGCAAACACTGCGCAAAACTCTTGTAGATGGAACCACATGAAACAGCAATTGCAGCTCCATGACACACTTGGACCAAACCTGTAGAAAAGGAAAATGTTGCAATAAAAGTGCATTACAATATGTACTGAACAACGCATGCACACTGTGCACTTGGGGTCAAAACAATATACTGTATCTTCACATGGATGGTAGCGAGAGTTCATGTAGTTTCGTAAAATGCAATGTCCATATGCTTGTAAGGATCAAATAGATGCAAAAATATGGTGTGTTGTATTCATCTGGAAGGATTACACATTGTCAAAGCCTCAGTCATTGTAGCCTTACATAAGACACAAAACACAACCCTCTGGAAAGATTTATCTACTCACAATTTTGCTATCTGGCTAGCGGGTTTTGGTCCTATTTAGTAGCGCTGTTTAATAGGACAAGGCCGAGCCATCAGGATGTGTTCCACTTCTAGTGGGTTAGTGGGGTTACGGTTGGTGTTGGTCAATTTCCTCCCCACCAAACTGACTCATTTTCAAGACACATAAAAAACATGAAACGTGGAAATCTTTCATTTGATTTCATTTTTTATTTATTATGCTGATTATTGTCCCTCGAAAGGATATTCAAGATACACTGCACTGTATATGTCGCTGTACTCTAGCAAAGAAGTACAGATATCAGATTGAAAAAGACGCATGTTCAAAAAAATGTTAGATTTGTTGAGGTTGGGGGTTGTGGGGGTTCAGCACTTTCCTGAAGGGCACCCCGACAACAATAAGAAAGCAGATGAGCAATCCTCAAACCACAAGTTGCAATTACAGTGGTGCCTTGTTATTTTAATTTGTTCTATGACCACCATCATGACTCAAAATATGTGAACTGCATCCCAAATTATCTTTCCTCATTGAAACCAGTTGAAATGGTATAATCTGTTACAGCCTCAGTCCCCCCCCCTCCCCCCACAAATTAATTGGCATTGTGTTGCATTTTGGGCGGCACGGTGGGTGGGCGACTGGTTAGCACTTGCGCTTCACAGTACAGAGGTGCAGGGTTCAATTTCAGCACCTTCCTGTGTGGAGTTTGCATGTTCTCCACATGGCCCGCGTGGGTTTTCTCCGGGTAGTCCAGTTTCCTCCCACATTCCAAAAACATGCGTGGCAGGTTAATGGAACACTCTAAATAGTCCCAAGATGTGAATGGGACTGCGGATACGATAGCTTGTATCTTGAAAAGTCGGTGGGGGGGGGCACAGAGGGCCTTGAAAGGAAACCCTCAGGTTCAAAAGCACAAGACAGTATAAATGAGCTACTACCAGATCCCATACTGCTGACAGTGTCCCACGTTCTACGAAGCAATTTTCTAGCCCCTAACCTGCTCAGGGTGGCAGCAGGGAACAGAGTCTATTTTAAATTTTTTTTTTAATTAAATTAATTGAATTTAACAAAAATGTTCAAAAGTATTGCACTCCATCTCAGACTTTTTTTTTTGCTGTTGTTGTTGTTGATTATTTAATTTGTTGTTTTTTGTTGTTAATTTAACCACCTGCAAAATCTTGTTAGAGTCAGGAAGATAACAATATAGTGTCCCCTCACTATCCATTGAAGCTGCACGGGGAGAGAACCCTGCCATAAATAGTGACCACCCAAAAAGGTTTGTGATTGACGATGGATCCCTCAAAACGCAGCAAAGGACTTTATGGCAAATGACAAAGCTGCCTGACAAAATGAAGCTTCTTCTTTCACTTCAACATAATTCCCTCTGGCAGCAAAGTAATATTTTCATATTAGACATTGCCATTTTTTCAGCAAAACAGGGGATAGGTTGCACAACCAAAAAAAGATCCACAAATGGGCAAATTCCTTTACATACTGTAGAATTTCCCTATCGTGCCAATCAAAAGAAAGTATTATCTTTGAAAAGGCAATGTTTTATTACATCCTTTGTATTGGTCCCCAACAAACAGCGTAGTCCCTGCTGAACTATGTCTAAGTCGCACATATATCCACAAATATGTAGACTCCATGTAATGCACCTGACATCATTCTTAACATGTAATTCAATGTAAAGTTATGGGAAACAAATGGCATTTCAACCACTCATAAATGGGAAATTGTACACGCACATACATGTGTGTACAAACGAATGGAGAGGACATCTGTTTTTCATCAGTGTTTAACCCATGTCAGACAATTTTGAGAGTTTTGTGAACAAGGTGAATGTCCATCTAAACATGAGGTCCAAATAGAAATATGAAAACAACCCTCCAAAATGGAACAAAATTACAACAAAGTTCTGGAAACTTGCACACAATGCACACACACTCACAAAGACCAAACAGAAACAATCTTACTGATGGAGAAGATGATGGGCAGCAGTAGAGCCATGGCGCCTGCCCGCGACTTCATCATTGGGCTCAGCAGAGTCCCGCGGAGATGAGTCCCTCCTACAACACAGAAGCTCTGATGTGACGCTCTTGATGAATGGAAATCCACAAAATGTGAAGCGTCCTTCCACCATCCGTTGGGAATTCATGAGATTGCAAAAGTACAGAATGCGCGGAGCCACGATCCTGCTGGATTAGTGTGTGTGTGTGTGTGTGTGTGTGTGTGTGTGTGTGTGTGTGTGTGTGTGTGTGTGTGTGTGTGTGTGCGCGCGTGTCATGAGAGGGTTGGACCAACACATCCTAGCGCAGCACACTAGATTAAAGCATTCTAATTTCCGGTCTTTAGTATTTAGAACCTTTATTGCACACACACACACCACACGCACACACACACACACACACACACACACACACACACACACACACACACACACACA